CTTCTCTTCCTCTTCGTTGTAGCACAAGGTTTAGGGATAGTTTGATGGTGTGAATGTGTGGCTGCAATGATGAAGTGAATGCATGTGTTGAATGATTAAAGTGCATGTGCAATGTTTTAAAGGATGGAATGATGGAGGAACAAGTGCATGTGAATGCATGGTGATAGCATGTGCACGGTTTTGGTTGGAATGATGGCAGATTGTGAAAACATGTGAATGCATGTGTTTGATGAATGATAAGTGGTGAATGATATGATAAGTGATAAGTGGTGAATGATAAGATAAGTGATAAGTGGTGAATGATAAGTGATGAATGATAAGTGGTGAATGATATGATAAGTGGTGAATGATAAGTGATATGATATGTGATTATGATAAGTAATGGGAGCATTTGAGAGAATGAATAATGAATGCATGTGTATGGTTTTGGGAGAAAGGTGGAGATGCACGGCATAAGGGAATTGGAAAGGTTTAAATGTCCTAAAACTAAAGGGAACAAAGTTCCAACACTTTGGTCTTCAATTTCGTCCAACATTTTGGCGCCAAGCATAAGCTATCCATCCTTAGCCCAAAAGTGCTCCAAAAGTCTCCAAAATGCATCTTTTTGCTCCTTTAGCCCTTTGGACCTACAAACACACGAAAATAGCTTAAAGGACTAAAATAACTAAAGAAACATAACGTAAATGCACGAGAACAAGCCATTTAAGTCGCATGAATATGCTCCTATCACGTTCTAAGGAACGAATATTAGAATGAGAATCATAACCCACATAGATTTCCATCCTTCCCTGAGGACCCCTTTTCTCTTTTGTACGTTAGGGCTGCACAAAAATGGTACATAGACCGCATAACCAAAGACGCGCAGATGCGATATGTCAGGTTCGTATCTAGTAACCAACTGACACACGCTTTATAAGGTCGGGTCGTGACAGGCCTTAGGCAGACCAACATGGTTACTTGCAATATTACATGGCCCCAAGCAGAGATTGGGAACTTGGTACGTATGACCAATCGATCGCGCAATCATTTGAAGGCGTTTAATGAATACTTCTGTTGGGTCGTTCTGGGTATGAACATGGGACTGGATGTTAAACTTTAAAACCCAACCGGCATGTAATATCCATTGAAAGTTTTCGATGTAAATTCTCAAACTTATCAAATCAAATAAATTTGATCAGATAATCAAGATGGTGAGCCTTGAGATGTTAATCTGAGCCACCAGTGTGGAAAATGCTGCTTGTGGACAATAGCCACACGTGTGACCAACGTGTCGAAACATCAACCAATACTATAAAGTATCTAAATAGTCTGCAGGGTGGTTGAATCAGTCCACAAATGTCCCATTTGAATCCTTTATAAGAAAGATGGAAGGCGCTAAGGTATAGTACGCGTCCAGGTATAATGTCTTTACTTCTGGTAAAAGAATGCCCAAAACAGGGCATCACGAATCATCCTAGATATCCCAAACATCTATAGTGAAAATTCCTTTCAAATCGTGGGCTTCTGGCTGGCCACATAGTGGACCTAAATGGGTGTAATCCATTCATTAAGTGTTCCATCTTCTCTAGAATATGCTTCTGGCTATATTCATTGGAAGTGCAATATGGTAATATGCTAAGGAATTTTACTCCATTTTCTACATTGGTTTCAATATGGTAGTAATACTCTCGAATATCCTTAAAGCTCAAAAGACGTTCTTCCAGAACAAGTAAGTATAAGGCTTCCCTTTATGGTAAAATTAGTACCATTGGACAATATAGGGCAGTGCCATGCCCCACAATCAGGTTGGATAAGCCTGAAAGGTTGTCAGGGGATGATTAGGTATAAAGTTAGCAAAGAACCAGACTGCTAACTTCCCCACAAAACATACCTAAGCATGAGTTAATTGTAGTCACATGTGGCAAGTTTTGTTAATTAACTCTTTATTATAAAATAATAATGATATCCAAACACCAAATATACAAGGGGGTTCGGCCAATAAGCCTACCATGTCAAATTTCACTCTTCCAAATGTGTTAGATAGAGCAAAATCAGTCTCAATGATTGACTATTGGAATGGTACTCCTCAACAACATTGGTAAAAGCATGGAAAAGTGCATAATGGAGTTAGATTCTGTAGGGTTAAGGTTCGGGAATACTATCCCATATTCTTGAAGTTTTAGGTGCCAGGGATCATGCTTCGGGCGTGATATCACCTCTTAGTAGGCCTGATTCTACCATTGGTTGTAAAACAAACTTGAAATTAGATTGTATAAGAGAAAGACAGACCCAGACTTGGGTTCGGTAGGCTCCAACCGAAACTGGAGGGTCTGTTCGATAGTCTTTGCCTAAGCAGAGCAATACCGTTCAATACATCTTTGCCAAAGCAGAGCATGCCCATCGATGCACCTCTGTTGAAGCAGAGCATGCATTTCGGTGTATCCCTGCCAAAGTAGGGCACCACCATTCGGTAGATTCTAGTCGAAACTGGGTCTATACCGTTCGTTAGTTCCCAGCCGAATTACTGGGGTACCATTCTCTCACAAGTGTGGTAGTAATCAAATCCAAGAATTTGGTAAACTTCCACTCTCTATACCACTACTTCATGACCAATTTAGATATAGAAGGACGAGAAAGATTTTCTTCCAATCAAAATTCAATCGGATATAAACTTCAGAATTGTACCTATTCATGGATGTAAGGTTTCACTCATGTTTTGTGGGAAAGAATGTGTCTTTGCATGATTTGGAACGGTCCAAAGTGAGTCAAAGAGCCATAAAGTCCTCAGCAGTGAGGTACTTCCATTTGATATGCTTCAAGCATAAGTCTTTGAATGAAGATCAGGGCGGAGGCTTATTCACCTCTTCCATACCATAACTGGATATAATGATTTTGCAACTAGTCGTAGTCAAGCAGGGTGTCACGTCTTATATCCACATAAAGTAGTTTCTTTGTCGAAACTTCCAAATCAATGAAATCAAACTTGTTACAGTTCGACAATACGTTGAATGGCAGAAACAAGAATGTGATTAGCATTTTAGGAAATAAAATTTTCATAAACATCAAAGTTTAGAACATTTAGGTTCTAAGACATGGTTTGGTTTAAACGGATTTAAGCATGGAGAACTTCGGGTCTCAACATGAGTATTGCGCGTTAAGAAACTTCAGGTTTCTATGACACTTTAACTTCGGGTTCAGAATTATGAACTTCAAGTTCATAATACCTGCAAACAAATGCAATATATACAAAAATATGCAACAAGAAAATATGCAAATATGTATAGACATTATAATTTATTTGAACTTTGGGCCAAAATTAAAAGTTGGATGAAAAAATTTAAAATCCATAAGGCCTAAAAAAAAAAAGAAGGCAATATAATTGGTAGCCCAAGGTATTGGACCAAAGCCCTAATAGGCTATTAAAAACCCTGAAAAGGAATGTGATCCAAGCCCAAAAATGGGCTGGAATGTCAAGGGCCGTGAGTTAAGAATCAGGCCTAAACTTAGGTAAGATCCATCAGCCCAACGGGGGCAGCGATCGTGTGCTTTGCAGGCACGTGGGACACCATAGTTCTCGGGCTGGTGTCATGCATTAGGCCTAGCCCAAACAGGAAAAAAATAAGGCTGAGTTATGTGTTATGGGCTATGATCTGTGAGCCCAGATAGATCTTTTCAAAGGGCTAAGAAATCAAAGCCCAAAGGGCTAACGTTTTGGACCAAAAAGCAGTGTTGCTGGGTGAGCTCGCCGGAGTTGAGACCAGCGCCACCACATTGGGTGGCCGTGTTCTTGGTGAATTTTTGGTTGGGGAAGTTAGGGTTCGAACTGGAACCCTATTATGAACGGAGAATTTTGATTTCTCAACATTGGATTTGAAAACCATGGGGATTTCGAATTGAAACCCTAAGAAATCTTGATGAAATTCGACGAGAGTTTCGATAATCATCGTTGGAGGGGATGAATTTTCCCTCAAAAAAAAAAAAACAAACTTCAGGTCGTGAGTCCGGTGGAAATTGGCGTAGGTGCCGTGACTTGTCTGCAGGTGAGGGTGGGATTTAGGGACGATGCCATGGACGGTGTCGTTTGGTTTTCATGGAGAGAGGGAGCTACTGGCTCTTCAGCTTGAGGCTCGGCTCAGTCACGCAGGTTGCTTTTTTTAAATTCAATGCATATTCAAAAAAATTTAATGAATGAACATATATTTGATGCAATTCATGACAATATCAAATTCACATAATTCAATAATTATAAATATAATGTATACACAATTTATGTAGAATCTAAAATTCGAAAAATATAAAGTTGGGTCATGCATTATGGTGAATGTTTATGTTATCAGAGCTGCAAAAATATCAAGATAAAAACTGTTGTTTTGGAAGAACATGATTGCGTGATGATATCGATGAACTGGTTTGATGCAGAAAATTATTTCTTCAATTTCGGCTTTCCATCTTCAAAGCTTGTATCACATTCAACATAAGAAAAATAACTTGAATGAATAAAAGTATATGAATTCAATAAAATCAAAATTTAATCAATTAAAAAAAAATTGAAACGTAATAATTCCTTGATTGAAGATGAATAAATTCTCTTTAGCACAGCGTGAAGAGCGTGCTGATAATATGTTGTTACCTATATTTAACTGAGGGGAGTGGCATAGAGAGAAAGAGAGGGGAGAATAGGCTTGAGGAATTGTGTGTTAAATCATTAGTCCTCGTGCATTTATTTATAGTAATAAGGAAGAGAGAAACTTGTTCTCTAAGTAATACAAAGTCTATTAGAAAAGATCTTCTAAATCCAAAGAATTCTTATTTTTTCTCTACTTATGATTTTCACAATCATATTATTAATAAAAACATATGTCACAACAACTCTTTATTTTTAATATACAAAATAAGAAATAAAGCATATTTAAATATAGCAATAAACATGATAAAATAAGAATACGCATGAGTTATTTATTTATTTATTACACTAAGTTTGAAAAATTTAGGATCGATACATTCTAATTGCCATCCAAATTTTTAAAATTTTTTTAGAATCAGAAATGTTCGGACTCAGAGTGGAATTTTTTTGTTCAAATTGGAATTTTCAATCCAACTTGAACCCTGGAACTGAGGGATCAGTTTGGGACGAAAACAAAGTTGGGAGACCAAAGTAGGACAAAATAAAATTTAAGTGGGCAAATTTGAATTTAAACTAGTTCTCGGCTCTTTGGATGCAGCGGCTTTTGATCGAGAACGGCAGGGCTTTGGACTTTGGCAAGTCGCTTATTACAAAAGCTCTACTGGGATTTTCAGATTGATTGCTGCCGTTGCACAAACCCTAATTTTCTGTAGAATTTAATTGGCCGCGACCCACCCAGGTACTTTGTGATTTCTCTCGTCTTCTGTACCGTAATTATACATATTTTCTTATGTTTTAATCCTCGAATTTTGTTTAGTTGTTCATGGAATCCAAGTTTGTTCCTTTCTATCATTTCGTTAAGAAACAGAGCGCAAGTTGCGTTTTGTGAGCTCAACTGTTCGTTTGAGTTCTGCTGAGAAGTGGGTTTTAGTAGAACACACCTCTAATGCAGTAACAGTGTTGTTCTGTGTGCTTCATTTCGCATGGTCTGTAGAAAAGGTTCTCCTTCTTATAGATTTTTCCAAGGGCGGCGTATTCAAGCGGTACACCACATGTCATGATACAAGTGGAGGAAATGATATATTTTTTTGTGTCCCTTCACTTATGACGCGTGGAATACTCGCTTGAATACCAGGTACTTTGAAAAATTCTCTTTCTTTTGAAGTACTGGATGTGTTTGATGTAATGCCTGACAGTGGGAATAGCTGGGTTCGGTTTGATGTGGAAAAATACAGACTTGATCGGTATGCATTCTGTGGCTGATGGTTCATGAATCTTTTGCGTTTTTTCATTCTCTCGTATTATAGTGGCAATTAGTTGAATAAGTACTATCAAATTAACATGCAGGATATTTTGTGTATTCCTTATTAAATGGGGGAGCCATCACTTTTTGATAAAATGATCAGCCATCTCCGTGCAGCATCCAAGTATGAGCATTATAATTTTACTTGTCATTTTCGATCTTGAGATGACATGTTTTTGTTTTTCTAAGGCCTTTTACTACTGTTTTTTGTATTTTGAACTACTTCTGTTGGTCTTGGATCTTGATAAAGTATTTAAAAGTTTAGTTTAGGATGTAGGCACTTCTTAATTCTGGGCTTTCCCTACACAGCCTCTTATCATGGTTGTCTAGTCAAACGGTTGTACCACTTCCGACTCCTTATGTTTATGGTCTGTAATATAAGATATTATACTGGTTATCCAAAGGATCTTGGGCCATCAAGGGTCATCCATTTTACATCAGAACGCGAGTTTGTCCAGCTCCTTCATGAAGGCCATCCCGTGGTTGTTGCATTCACCCCCAGGTCATCTAGAGTTGGTCTCCATCATTTTTTATTTTTTATGTTAAACCTATACTCTTCAGTTGGAGGTTTAAATACTCGCTTCGGATAATACAGGTGTAATCTCACAAAACATCTTGATGGAGTATTGGAGGAAGCTGCGGCTGAGTTTTATCCACATGTAAAATTTATGCGTGTAAGTAAACAAATACTACCATTAATTATTAATGATATCAATTTTTTGCCTTCAGTTATTAATGCTCAAACATGTTGTACGCTAGTATGAGCCTTGAAAACATATTTATAAGCACCATGTGTGATTTAGAGCTTGTGCCTTTACCTTTGGACCTTATAGCCCAATGATATTTTTGGCATTCTTTCGAAGCGGGAGGTGTTAGGTTTAAAGTCGAGAGCTGCCCACACCAGAAAAAATGAAGAAAGAGCTATGTCTTTGATGAAAGCATGCTTTTATAATTCTTGAGGCAACTTTCACATAAGTTTTTGTTAATCTTCCCTTAAAACAGTAATCTCTTATGTTTTGTTCTTGCATTGGCATTTTCAGGTCGAATGCCCAAAATATCCTGGTTTCTGTATAACACGGCGGAGGAAGGAATATCCATTTATAGAAATATTTCATAGTCCACAACAAGTAAGACAACATTTTTTTTTCCTCTAAAATGCCTATTTTTGCTTGCCCCAATACGTGTTTTAAATTGTTCTCTCTTGTTTTGAACCTTGAACTTGAAGCGAGTCCGTTTTATTTTCTGTAGCATTCAAACAAGTCCTGGTGGCACGCAATCTGATCATGGTTCCATCATGGCATTTAATTTTTCATTGTAGTGGGTTAAAGGCCATCAAACAAATTCGGTATAAAAATGGAAACTTCATGATGTATTTGTTCCTTTCTGGAAAATAAGAGAAAGTAGTGATTCTCTTTCCATGACCAGCTTTGTGATATGCTGAGGGTTTTCTTTTGTAATTTTGACTGAGACCTCTTAGGCACCATGCCCCTGCTTGTCTTTTGCTTACTTGAAAATTTTTCTGATGCAGGCACAGAACGAGGGAAGGGTTTCTGATGCAAATATTACAAAGTACTCTGTGAAAGTCTACCAGTAAGTTTCCAAACTTGCTTACAAATTATGATGTTATTTTCTTAAGAATTGGATTTTCCGCCTTCATATCACATTCCAACCTGATTACATCACTCCATATTATAGGGAAACCCATGAAGCCATTTTTACTCTTTACGTATGCATACAGACACTCGGCATCTTTTTTCCCCTCCATTTTTTATTCTAACATGTTGTCTTTTTTGTCATATCTGCACGCTTCCAGTTCAATTACGATACTAGTGCCTATGGATTTAGAGAGATTTTCAAGTGTCATGGGATACAGTCGTCAAATCCACAGTGAAAATCTGGTGACAAATGAGTTTGAGTTAATTAGTTTTTGTTTATTTGTTGATCAAATTATGATTCCTTGTGATGTAAAAACCTTGGCCTATATGCAATGGTTTGAGATTTTTGAACAAAGGCTGATGTTTGAACAAATATGTTACAATAAATCTCAAACCTTATAATTCCACCTTAGCTGAAACACCTACTTATTCTTGTTTCATCACCCTTAAACCTCGCAGCACACCATTTTCGTTCCAGTAAACGACTTGAAATTGTGAAAAGGGAAGGGGAAAGGTTGTGTTCTTGAGTGCTTGGTTGATGCATCCCATGGGTGCCTCTAGATTTCTTGCTACTATAACTGTGGACCTCAAAACTTGTGAATGTTTTACTGTCTTCGTGTTATCGTGTCGTATATGATTTTTCCAGATCTACTCAACTGTATGGTATTATATCCCAAACAAATGCTTGCTATCTGGGTTTGAACTCACTATTAGCTCTGTTATGCTGCCCTTGAAGCTGTTTTTGCTTTTGCGATTGATGAAAAAATTCAATCGGACAAAGAGTAAAAGGGTAGTGATTGTACTGAAATTGTCTCGTGTGGTTGTGTGCATGGGTTGGGGATGACCCCTGTTGACGACGTATTCCCACCGTAATAACGGTATAATGATCATACGATAGCTATACACACTAACTCATATGGTTTAACAGGAAAGTTGAACTGGAAATACAAGCTGCTCACTAGCTTTACTAGTCAATCGTATCAATGTTCAAACTGTTAGCTTGTTTCTTATCGGGCCGAACATAGAGTTGGCTTGTTTCTTTCAAGAGCCTAGTTTTGTCGAGCCAAACTCAATGCGGAGCTCAAGCTAGTTGTTTCGAGATAATTTACAACCATACTCGTTGGTTTAGTCATGTGATGAAAGAGATACGATACATAAAGTAGTAACATGAACCCGTTTCATTAGCGAAAGTGATCTGCTACATTAAACATGCCTAGACATGCATGCATGCATAGTAAAAATAACTTGTTAAAAGCGGCCAGTTGCCAAACTCTGGTAGTTCTTCAATTTCTGCATGTTCTTCTACCACTAAGCCCAATGTGAATTCTTTATTCAGAGGCGTCTTCGATATGGTTCTTTCTTCTTGGTGGTCTGCTCAAATCATTTTCTGAATTTTTCGGTGGTGTTTGTTTGTTCAAGATTGCAAATCTTGGGAGCTCTTCAACGTTCTTTGGGTCAAGATTGAAGTTCTTATCAGGTTCTTGATTTTCGGTTTTCACAGTGCACGTAATCTGTTTGATTAAATGTTTCAGTAAGAAAATATTTGCTATTTTGTCAATTAGTAAGGCCGATAGCCAAAGGGCAGTATATTGAATTTACACTCCATTTGTTCATCTTTCTTGTGAGTCTTTTTTGGGATATTAATTAGTGTGATATTTGGGATATTTGGCTCACCCCTTGTGTAATTATATTACAAGAGACTTCATATCTACGAAAATATCTCACCTCATACGCCCAATGATAGACGGTTACTTTTCTAATAATATATATGAAACAAATCGAACATTAGATCCGCACAAATCTAGCAAAAACAAGAAGGAAAATACTAAGAATTTACTAAACTCAAATTAACATTGTTTTATGTCAATTAGTTGCATGTGGTTCATATTTTAATGTGAACAATTGCTTAGCAGTTGCTGGCCTTTTCGGCTGCGGAAGCGATTCCGGATTATAGTTATCCACGCAGAAACTACGACGGCCGGTAAAACAAGAATGAGGATCATTTTCGGATTTTTTTTGTGAAAATTTCAAAAATTCTTTAATTCTGTTTATTTATTGTATATCCTACAGTCAGAAATTATTTTAAATATTATATTTAAAATTGAATACAAATAGTACTTAACGAAAATTGATCACATGATTTACAACGAACAGAAATGATTAAAAGATTCTTTGAATCTCACAAAGGATCTGTAGATGTCTTAAAGAAGCAAAAGCAAATTGGGATAATCTTTTCTTTTCTCAATTAATTAATTAATTAATTAGCCTTTAAATTAACTTTTAATTAGAGAAGCAAGTGGTCCTCTATCATAATGGTGGAGATGAGTGTTACCCTTACACTATTACCTGAATTCGAACCCTGTTGGTCCCTAATTTAACACTTAATCTAATAAATCTATTGTTTGACAAAAAAAACTTTTAATTAGAGTCCGGAGATAACCAAGTCTTAACATTTCCTAATGAGTGCAGATTATATTGCCGATTAAGCTGCCACCTGCAGACAAAAGATTTCAAACACGACACCTCTATATTTGACCAATCATCTTTTCTTTGATTTATGTTCTCACATACGTAGACATAAGATGTTTCGAGGTGCCTTTAATTTTGAACGGTTGGGGAATTTTGATGAAGATGTCCAATGGGAGTGATTTTTGAACTTTTTTTTTTTTTTTTTTTTTTTGTTTCTCGGGATATTTTTATTTTATTTTTGGCCATTAGTTTAAATCAAAAGAGGGTAAAAAAACTATTTAGTTTTCTATCATAGAAAAAAAGTTAAGAGCAGTAATGTAATTTCAAAAAATAAAATTTTACTTTTTTTGTTTAAGCCTCACCTGCATTAAAAATAAACCCCTCTCTCTCTCCACTCCCCCATTCTCACTCGCTCTTTCCTCTTTCCTTCAATTTTTAAAACGAAAATAGAAAGTATGTGAATATAGAAAAAGAGAAATGAGGAACAAAGAAGAGCAGAAGGAAAGAGGAATAAATCAAGGAGAAAGCAACAAGAACGAGAAACAAATCCTACTAAAAAGTTGAAAATGTTGTAAAATTGTGAGAATGAATACTCACACTGAGGAAGACTTGGAAATAGCAATGTATTTGTTGTTGTGTAATGTTTTCAAAAGTGGGAAGCATTTCATTTGTTTGGTTTGTCACAGATGTTGCTCTATGTAAATAACACTCTGTGTGTGATCACAATACACACTACAAAAGAAAAGAACTGAAAGCAATAATATCAATATCCCTCACTTCCTCTTTTACCTGCAATCCTTTTGTGTTATAGTTACGAAACTCAACAATGTGATATTTTGCACTTGCTTCGCTCATGTCCATAGCAAGGGTTATCTCTCTAACCTTTGCCTATTTATAACATATTATCAACACGACTCTCTAACCTTAACCAGTTCTCATCTCCCTTCACTGAAAAATGCTTCCTCCAAGGATTTTCTTGTTCTTCTTCCTCATCTGCCTCACTTACTTGATGTACCCTCACGAAGAACTGCTAGCAGCCTAGCACCATGCTTGCTTCTAGTTCTCAATATAACAATTACTAATATCTTTAATTTCTTGCTTGGTGTAGCTCCTTATTACTAACCCAGTGTTTATTTATGTTAATTTTACTGCAATCGAAGATGGTGTGGTATCATCGCCCATATGGAACTACATATTTAATTTTACTGCAATTTTAGGTGGTGCAGTATAATCACCCACCCTACTCTGGATATTTAAATTTTCCTACTGCTTGAGTGGTGCGGAATAATCGCCCATACTTCGCTATATTGTTTCAATGAGAGTGGTGCGATACAATCGCCCTCCTCATTAATCATGTAAATCTCAAGCCTGAAGTTTCGAGTGCTTATCATTTTGGCCTGAAGATCAAAATTAAAAATTTGTAAGAACCATAAGTTCTAACACTAAATTCCTCCGGAATACATATTATTGCATGTTCTTACACATCTCATTTTTCTTTCAGAACAGAAAATGATGAACTTGACAAAGCTTGATTTTGTTGTCTTGGATATTATTGGGAAGTACTACCTTACATGGGTAGTGGATACTAAGATCCATCTGGAGGCAGGGAATCTTGGAGAAACCATCAAGGAGGAAAACAATGCATCTTCTCAAGATCGGGCAAATGTTATGATCTTTATCTGTCGCCACCTTGATGAAGGAGAAGAACGAGTACCTAATAGTTGAAGATCAATTAGCCCTCTGGAAGGCATTGAGAAATAGATACAATCACCAGAAAACCGTGATTCTTCCAAGGGCTAGTTATGAGTGCACACACCTAAGGATCCAGAATTTCAAGTCGGTTGCAAAGTACAACTCTACAATATTTAGAATTAGCTCTCAAATGAAGTTTTTTGGGGAGACCATTATTGAGGAAGATATGCTGGAAAAGACTTTCAGCACATTTCATGCCTCCAACGTGCTCTTGCAGCAGCAGTATAGAAAACGAGGCTTTACTGAGTACAACCAGTTGATATCGGTGCTCCTTGTGGTTGAACAAAACAATGAGCTTCTGATGAAAAGTCATCAGTCCCGACTTATTAGATCGGCACCATTCCCAGAAATGAATGTTGTTTCCCTCGAAGTGAACACCACATCTTCTCGTGGCAATAATTACAAATAAGGATGTGGCCATAAACGAACAAGAAATGCAAGAATTATGGTGTCCAGTTTTACAACCAGGTTCTAAGGTATAATTCAAATCCGAGCTTCAAAAATGTAAATCGCCACAAAGGTAAAGCCCATATGAACAAGACTCCTAGAAACCCTGAAGGAGCTTGCCATATGTGCGGTGGCAATGTGCACTGGGCGCATACCTGTCATACCCTAAAACACCTGGTAGACCTGAATCAAGGCTCCCTCAAGGAGAAGGTTGTCGAAACCAATTTCCTTGACCAGGCTAAACCGATGGATATACTTGATCCAGTGTTCGATTTATCAGGGCAATTGAACACAATCCACCTAGATGCCTCATACTTCATTGTACAAAGAGGGAATGAAGTGTATTGGTCCAATTGAATCATTTTTGTTTGATGTACTCTTATTATCTGAACTTGTGGTTTAAAGCTCACATTTCAATTCAATAAAAGTGGCATTTCAATTTCCTTTTATTATGAATAAACCGTTTTTAACTGTGATTCCCTTACTCATAGAGCATGGATAAAAACTATGATTATTCTCAAAACAAGAGCAATGGTGAAGATATTTGTTTTGCTAACAGCGCAACCACACATACAATACTTCGAGATCAAAAATATTTCTCAAGCTTGATGCTCACAAAAGTAAAGATAACAGCAATATCAGGCCAGTCAGACGTAATTGAAGGCTTAGGAAAAGCCTAGATCATGTTTCCAAATGGAACAATATTGTCTATACAAAATGCGTTGTACGCTACTTGATCTACTC